AAAGAGCATCACAAAATTAGTAATATTCCGAAGTTTCGTTGCGAAATGTTGTAAAATGCGGATAATATAGCCCTGCGAAGTTTGCCGTTTTTCAGTCATTTTGTATACAAATGGGAAATTGATAATCAGTTTGATCATCTGATTATCAATTTCCCGTTTGCAATGCAAAATGACTGAAAAACGGCAAACTTCGCAAGGCTATATTATCCGCATTTTACAACATATTACTAATTTTGTGATGCTCTTTCAAGCTGTGATGAAATTTTTGTCCAGGCATATCTAGATCAAAATTTCACTCATAAGGGGAAAGGTCTATTATAACATCTAGTTACGGCCCTGAGCTTGTTCATGGGGCTTTGGTGGCGAAGTGGTCAGCGCACTTGCCTTTCACCTCTAAAGTAGCTGGTTCAAGCCTCAGTGAGAACTTTTTCAATGTGACTCGAACCCAGTCCTCATGTGAAAAGAGTAAAAAGTCAACGCTCTGAACGCTCTGCCGAAAGTCGTGGGTTTTTTCCGGGTACTCCATGTTTCCTCCCACAGGGAAAGTTGACAGGGTGGGTTAGGCACATAAGGTCTGGAGACAGATCATTAATGAGGTATGGACTAATAGCGGCTGCTCAAGCGCCATTTGTAAGCTCAAAGTCTACCTCGGTCTGCTTCACGTCAGTCCGGTTCTGTCTATCTATTCACAATGTAACCAGTCACTGAAAAGTCCTGATAGTGAGTGTGCTGTGAAATATCTGTATATTATTAGACTTGCTCCAAGTCTCTCTTTCATTGTCATATAGTATCGATCCACTATAGTGTACATTACATGACGTAGCACGGAGAGGGGGAGCAAGTAAGAGAGACTTGTCAACTTCGGAAAATCTTGGTTCAAAACTGAACCGAAAATGCAAGACTTGCTTTAATTGTTTTCCTTCAATTTCTTTCTGTATTATTTACTATAATGGAACTCATGTTATTTACACTGTGCTAGATCAATACATATAAACACTGACAGAAAACAATTAAAGCAAGTCTTGCATTTTCTGTTCAGTTTTGAACCGAGATTTTCCGAAGTTGACAAGTCTCTCTTTCTCGCTCCGCCCCTCCGAACTACGTCATGTAATGCACACTATAGTGGATCGACACTATATGACAATAAAAGAGAGCCTTGGAGCAAGTCTAGTATATTATTAGCACTACCAACACTGGCACAGAGCCACGGACAGTTCAAGATTATTATCAGATCATTGCTCATTTGTTCTGCATGTAATCCTTTGAGGGAGTGAATGTGAAAACAGAAATTTTTCACACATCTTTTACAGCTTACTAAAATACTGAGCGTTTGGGATTAGTTCTTCAAAGCCTGCCGAGTTAACTTTTCTGTTCCTCAAATGGAGCCGTTGTACTATACCGACCCAAGAAATTCACGTATTCTCCCGACATATTGCTTCTGTACCTTCCTTCACTGTTCACTGTCGACATAACCTGGAGGCCAGTTCCACCAATGTCCTCGTAGGTCTTCCTATATTTCCAGAAAACATTTTTAAATCAAATGTGGAGTAGAGTCAAGTCAACTCATTAAAATAAAATTACTTGACCGATAAGAATATATAATATATTTTCCTCCCATGTTAGTGAAGAGACACTCTTAAACAAGGTGGCATTATTATGAGTAAACGCACATAGACATAAGACACTCATTCTTTGTCAGGAGTATTCCGTCATTGAACTCTTTAACTACAGCAGTCCCGCAGTGGCGCTACCCAGCGGGCAAAATGACGTTTATCCAACGTTGAATCAACGTTGGAAATGACCTTCCAGACGTTGGATAGACGTTGAAAAAGGGTTGACCATGTAAATTGGATCGACGTTACTGTTTCGACGTTGAAACAGCGTTGAAATTAGGTTGCCAATCTCGTCAACCATAATTCAACGTTGAATCCACGTTAAAACAACGTTGAGATTGGTTCACAAATCGACGTCGTACATTTAACCATGAATGAACGTTAATTCAACGTCTGTTGGCTGCTGTTGAACCAATGTTTGTAAAACAACGTCAGAGCAACGTAGATATTAGGTTGTCGACGTCGCAACCTTTTTTCTACCAAATTTCAACGTCGAAACAACGTCGTGTGCCCGGTGGGTTGTGTGCGTAAAGTTTGTTTAGTTTCCTCCAATAGAAACACTGCAGTCTAGTAAGTTATATAGCTCTTGCTATCCTCTTACCAGACGTGAAAGCGAACATTATGCAAATGTAGAACATATATAATTGCTTGTTTTTTCCCGTTTTTATTTTCAGACTTCTCAGTGTATCCCTGGACTCCGGTGTGGAGGAACAAAATGGCGAAAATAGAATTAGCTTGGTTGAGCAATGTGTTTGCCCAATTGGATACAGTAGTTTCTCCTGTGAGGTAGGTGACTATTTTCACCTCTTCTTTGGGTTCCTCCTTCAAAATTGCAGGATGCGAGCAGGCTATTGTGTACACTGTAGGCTTCTAACAGTCCTCCAGAAGATCTACTATAATAGGTCTGTTGTAAAGCAGGCCCGCGTAACTAGGATTTTGGATTTACCGAGTCGAGTCGTCGGGGCATGCTCCCCCAGAAAATATTTGATTTTCTAAGGCTTATAGAAACGCTATTTCCTGCATTCTGGGAGCAATTTTAACAAAAAATCAGTAATGATAAACAGTGACACAGTGACTATAATTTTATAGTCTTCCTGCATTCTGGGAGCAGTTTGAAGAAAAAATCAATCTCATAAACAGTGACACAATAACTATAATTTCATAGCGTGCATGTCTCACAATTGTACTACAGGTGAGAATTCAAGTACTCTTGAGAATTCAAGTACATGATCAGGTGCATGATAAAAACGTGTTTGTGGTAATATTTTGTACCCTAATTCGTACTTCTACCCTTCATCAGAAATTGAATATATTTCATTCAGGATCTGTTTTCTCTAAACTTGAAGTCTTAATCCCTATTTTGAATTTTTTCGAAAGAATCTTACTGAGTCAACTGACTAGTTTGACTGACTTGACTATGCTCATATATGCTCATGGCTAGTTACGGGCCTGTAAAGTTCTCCCGCGAGTTGTGTTCGCACTGCTGTTCGTATAACCAGACCCGTAACTAGGATATTAGATTCACCTGGTCGAGCATCAATGAGCGAGAAACCTCTAAATGAATTAATGAATGAAATAAAATTGTTTTTATTAATATATTTGTAGAAATGTTCTTCGGGATATTTTAGAGATCAGGAAAGCAAAACGTGTGTGAAATGTGCATGTAACAATCATTCCAATACTTGTCATCCCGAGACTGGCAAATGCGAGGTACGGAATTATTCCAACAATCTTCTTTCCATTAAAGCTTTCTAATATCATAAATTGAATGATCGTTTAGGTAACATACCCATCCTGCATTGTGGTTTAAACCCCCGTACAAATGGGCAATTTTTCCTTCGCAAGGAGCTCTGTTCCAAAGCTAGTTGGACCAGGAAAATTTGTTCGTGCATGTGTACGGTCGCCAAGGAAAACTTGACCGGTGTACAAGAAATAATTATTTGGTTTTGGCAAACAAATGGCCATCCTGACGTGAGATAAATGTTCAACAACTTTCCGTGCACACGAGCAACAAGACTTGTCAAGGAAAACTTGTTGACCGTAATCACGAGAAGGTCAAAGGAAAACGTTTTTGCATCCTTACACGAGCGCTATCATGCAAGCAAAATGGCTCCAAAATTAGTTATACCAATTTTTGGGTGACGTCCATTGTGAAAAGTATGTTTCCATTTTCATTGTATCAAACACTGGACCAAGCAAGGGTGGCCATTACCGGACCTCTATGGAAAACTGAATGCTTTCATTTTCTCATTTAAGTTAACCCAATATACCTTAAATATATAGAATTGCGTCCATGATACGGAAGGTTTCAACTGCGAGACTTGTAAACCTGGTTACTATGGCAATGCTACACAAGGGACATCACGTGATTGCAAGAAATGTAACTGTCCATTGACTGTAGAAACAAACTCGTAAGTTAAAATTTTTGATGGTCACTAACATTCTATTAACGATGGTGCATTCTAACCATAGAAATAATAAACATAGAATGCGTGCTCCTATGTTTCCTCAGTAAACATTTTGTCTCCACAAAATGGCGGATTTATAAGGGCATTTTGGCTAGTCCCAGACTCCTGCGGCAAGGAACTTCGCGTTCATGAGTCAAACAGAAATTTTAGATTTGAAGGCAGCAAAGGGTAAATGGCGTGTCATTTTAAAACTGCAATGTATAATGACACTTTTGTCATAAGAAAGAAAATATGAAGCGAAGAAGTTAAACAAAAATTGTGCACCGAGATACGATCTTTTAATAAATTTGACGTCATACTTACCAAATACCAGTCCAAAATTGATCAAACCTGCAAATGCAAGGGTCCGAGGTCTAGGTTGAAACTCCCTAATTGATGCATGAGAGTTGACGAGAGTTCTAAAGCCCGTTTTCCTCTAGGCGAATTTGTTCACGCGAAGTGACTTTTTCCTTTGTCGCCATGCATCGCTTTTGCTGATGTGATATATAAGCGGATGCCGGCAAAGGAATCGCCAACTCTCATATACTCTTCCCAACTCTCCTCAATTTTGAGCTCAGTGGTTCAAATTTTGATGAGAGTTAATTAATGAGATTTTTTGCTATGCACAGTTAAATATCCAGTCAACTCTCGTCAACTCTTGTTCTCGTTTGACCGGGGCATGAGAGTTGAGAAACACTCCTGCATACAAACTCTCGCTTGCCAGCTCTTATCAGTTATCAACTCGTTTAACTGGGCTGTAGTCAGTAATAGAAACATTCCATTTGTCCAATTTCAGATTTAGTGAGTTTTGTTATTTGGATACCGATGGCAAATCTACCTGCTCTCGCTGTCAAGAGGGATACGCTGGACGAAATTGTGAAATGTAAGTTGATTCTAGTACATCAATTAGTATTTTTCTAGTACATCAAATAGGACATTTATCCAAATACAATTTTGTTTTATTTTTCTTCCTTTGTAACGATTAGTTATCCGTTTATTTGTACTTGTCATATTTAGCTGTGACCAAGGTTATGAAGGCAATTCCACAGTTTTGGGCGGAAGTTGTTACAAAGTCGGTAAGGTCATTTATAACCTCTGCGGTTCGTGGAGTAACTTCACACCCACATACACCATTCATTTATGTGAAGCATTGGGCTCGTTGCTCTGATGTAAACAAATTGATACTTCAATAACTGATGCTTGCCCCGTTCCAGTTACATTCACCATCCAACATTTTGACTCTCCATACATGTCCAATACTGTCGAATAACGAATGGAGAGTTTCGTAACTTGATTATGAATCTCACCATTCCGTGCGCGGAAATAGAAATGCCTGCCTTGACCAATACATATACGTGTAAAACCAGCAATCTTTAATACCTTAACATTGTAGGGGGAGCGGGAAGACAAATACGCCAACATGTCTATCTGAACACTGGTACTTTAGTCTACACCTAGGTGTCCACGGAATTTTTTGTTATGATTGTACCCATATATATGTCCAACATTCATATATTCGTGCTAATGGAAGAATAGAATGCCAAAGATACAAAATGTGTTGGTTTCATGTATTTGCCACGGAAGTTTCCTTACCAAACGTAACACAATTTGCTATCTTTAGGCAATTTTTCGCGATGTGATTTAGCTGGAAGTGTTTCCCAGAGTATGACTGCTGTTGGTGAAGTAAGATGCACCTGTAAGGTATGACTTAGATAATTTACTTTTTTTTGCCTAAATAAAAAATTAGTCTAACATGCAAGTTGTCTATTAGGTAAAATCACTGCCACTTTATAGAATACATCAAGGCTAACACTTTTACAAACTGTAAATATACAATACCATGTACCTTCTTTGAGAAATTAAATGTTAAAAATACCGAAGTTTATGCTGGATTTAGCAAACAAGCCTGACTAGCCTATTTTAGCACATTTCAGCGTCGTTTGCATGGATTGTTTTCCATCTGAAACTTTTACACTTTGCCATAACAGTCTCTGTTGAAAAAGGTTTATTGGCCTGGTAATGCGTAAATGTATTAAAATGATGCAAATGTGTGCATTGTAGCTAGTTTTCGAATTGGTCAATAAAGTATGCGGGAACTGACCACCAGTCTTTATAGCCACGGTAATAAAGTATGTCGCAAACTACATGGGATACTTAATTTTTGTGAGTTGAGGTATATCAGTGATGAAACTACAGCACTTTTACCCCCAAATGCATCTTCCTACGTTATTTTTTATTATCTTTGTGTTTTAGAGCAATGTTATTGGTTCACTTTGCGATAAATGTCGAGAGGGTACATTCAATCTTCAGATCTCCAATCCTTTTGGATGCGAACGATGTTTCTGTAGTAGAAAAAGTACAAATTGTACGAATTTCGTTGGCTCGAAGTTTATGGTGAGTTGATAAAGGGGCAACACTAAATAAATTTAAAGGTATACTTTTGCTGGCACTG